GGGGGGGGGGGGCGTGTAAGGACCACCAACATCCCCGTGCTGCGTCACCACTCCCACCCCCATTTATTGCTCTGTTGTGCGGCGGACACGCGTGGTGGAGGTGATGAGGGTGAGCTGGCCCGCCGCCCTCGTGACCCCGTCCCCTGGTGCCCCTCGCCCCACCCGCTGCTCGTCCTTCAGGCTCTCGGTGTGCACTCTGCCTCCGCCTGCCGTTCTGCTCTCTTTTCTCGTCTCCCTCCCCTCCCGCTCCATCCTTCACGACGTGGCTTCGTTTGTCCCTCCGGGCACATATCAGTCAGACCTGGAAAGCAGGTCTAATTGGCCGTTTTTCCCTTACACTTATGAATGTTTGTGTTTATTTTGTAGAGTTGTTCTATAATGGACATAACTCTTTTGGATGAATATGGGAAACCGTTTTGGTGTTTCAGTTCTCCGGTTTGCATGAGGGCTTTGGGGCCCTCTGACGGTCCCAGCTTCTTGGGACAGACTTCCTGTGTTGACTATGTGGACTCGGAAGGAAAAGTGCACGTGGAGCTGGTGTGGATCAAGGAGACCGAAGAGTACTTCATCGTCAGCCTGGTCCTGTACCTGAGGATAGCGAAAATAAACCGCTGGTTTGGGACGGCATACTGAGTGCTGGCAGCGGGTGGCAGATCAGGGTCGCTGTTTGTTTACCTTGGACTCATCGTTCTGTTCTTGGCGTTGGGAGTTAAAATAAAGTAGTAGCCTGTTTGATGCCTTTTTCTTTCACGTTAGAAGTTGTGATTCCTGGGTCATTTTCAAGCTAATGTGTAGAGGACTAAGTTAAAGTTTAAAAACGTCCCAATGAAAATTCATACAAAATAAGAAACAAGATATCTGCTTCTCTTCTGCCATGCAACTTAAAAAGCAAGGAATTCTTCTGACGCATATGATTGTGTGGTCACTGTGTGTGTGTGTGTGATCACTGTATGTGTAGATCTGTGTGATCACTGTGCATGTATATGTGTGTGTGTGATCACTCCGTGTGTGTGTATGTGCATGTGTGATCACTGTGCATATGTGTGATTACTGTGTATGCATGTGTGTGATCACTGCACGTGTGTATATGTGTATGTATGATCACTCTGTGCATGTGTATATGTGCAAGTGTGTGATCACTCTGTGTGCATGTCTATATGTGCATGTGTGATCACTGTGTGTGCGTGCTTATGTTGTATAGATAGGTTTTTTTTCCCCTTATTGGGTAGAACCTCAAATAAGAAAATGTATATAAATATGAACCTCATTAAACTTAGAAAGTGCTGTGTTCCTGGCATTCAGCAACCACGTTAGTATTTGACGAAACAAAGTAAAATACCTACTGCACAGGGGAAGATGTATCTGAAATCATCAGGACAAACTGTTGCTGCTTAAGAGCAAAGTGTGATACAAACGCGGTAATGCCCCCCCCCCCCCCACGTTAGTGGAGGGTCTAAGTTAGTAGTGAGCACATCCTATGCAGAGATGTCTTCAGAGAACTGGCAGGTACTTGGGCTTTAAATAGAGGTAACATGTATGTAAGCATATGTAGCTTTTTTAGGGATTTGGCTCTAAATTAGTGTAAGATTGTATAGATTATTTTTGATCATGTTTTTATCACCCACTTAAGGTTCCTCCCAGCAGTGACTTTTGAAATGCTTTGTTAGTCCTGCTGCGGGGAGCTCCCCCTCCTGTCTCTTTTCTGTTTTTCTCCTCCTGAGCAATCTGATCAGCTCTTTTGAAGTACGCGCCTGTGTGCGTGTGCAATAAAAGATCCGGGACAGATATCAGGTTCTTGGGCAAAGAAATGCGACAGTACAAAAGACTCCCGTCCTGACTCCGTCCCTGCCGTCCCGACCTCGGGGGCCCTGGGAAGGGAGAAACCTGAAATCTGTGTCAGAGCTGAGAGCGAGGGATGGTGTCATTTCGTGGCACCACCAGCAGGGTGTGGAGCACCTGCCTCACCTGGGTGAGCGTTGGGGGGTTGGTGGAGGGGCAGTGGCTTGGACAGTGCGGAGGACCAGATGTCACGAGAGGCAGGTGGCAGAGGTCACGTGTCACCGGCAGGATGGAACTGGGAAACGAGCACAGAACGGTGTGTGGTGACTCGTGGAACTCACTGGGTTAAATGGTAGAGGGTCCGGGTGTCCTGGAAACACAGGAAGCGAGGTGGAGCCAGAGGAAGGGCACTGTTCCCTTTACCCACAGTGGAACAGTATTGGGATGGGAAGGGAAGCCGGGTACTTCTGGGATGGCAGTGCTGCGGGGAAACTCCTAGGCTGGAGCATCTCGTTATAACTCTTGGCCATGTTGAATCGAATGTGTGCGCAGTGTCTGTCTTCCCGCCAGGCTGCTCGCCTCGTGAGCAGGACTGTGCTGTCTGGTTTGCAACTCTTATCTCTAGCACCTAACAGGATGCCAGGCTCATAATACTATTTGTTGAATCAACAGAAATTATTATAGGAAACATAGCAGCAGCTATGGGAGCATGAAGGAGGCAGGGATGAATTCTGACTGGATGAGCCTGGGCGCCCTTCACTCTGAGCTAACTTTGGGCAGTGCCGGGCAAGGAGAAGCGAGGCGGAGGAGGGACGTTCACAGGGCGACTGTGAGTGTCTCATCAGAGCAACGTGTGCGTGCCACGGGTCACCAGATGTTGCTAGAAGACTCCTCCCTGACCCCACCTGCCCTTTCATGGGTCTGAGATAATGTTCAGCAAATTTTTAAAGCCGTTTCTTCTGAGATTTGTCTACATTTTTCTAAATAATATTCTTCTCTGGCGGTTTCTGGATTTGTCTGATGTAGACACCTATTGACCTAAGGTAGATAAAATGAGCCCTTTTACTCCAGCCACGTCCCCTCTTGCATCATACCAAATACAGCAGGTTTATAACAGTTGTTATGGTTTTTTTTTTTTTCAACGTTTATTTATTTTTGGGACAGAGAGAGACACAGCATGAACGGGGGAGGGGCAGAGAGAGAGGAGGGAGACACAGAATCGGAAACAGGCTCCAGGCTCTGAGCCATCAGCCCAGAGCCCGATGCAGGGCTCGAACTCACGGACCGCGAGATCGTGACCTGGCTGAAGTCGTACGCTTAACCGACTGCGCCACCCAGGCGCCCCAATGGTTTGTTGATTATGGCTGTGTTACCGTTCTCTGCAGAGTCACATAGAGCCACACGCTTCTTTCTTTTACAACTTTGTATTTTTCTTGGAAGAATAACTGCCCTCCCATTTTGCTTACATGGTTTTAGTGAACCTAAAATTTTCTTAAAAGTTCTGTTCAGTCTTTCCTATGTTGGTCAGTTTTTTCAGTGGTTTTTCTTTTCTCTAAATCAATCGTGTCAAATAATCTATGAATTCTGTTTTTTTTCCCCAGGCTGTTTCATTTTCAGAGTTCTGCCTCTATTTGTTTTAAACTTCTTTCTAGCCTTGCTAGATGGCTCTCGTCCTGAGAAGTTTCCTGTGAGAATCTTGTTTTATGGAGTCTTATCTTCCTCTTTCTTGATTTCTGCCCCTTTTTCAGTGGTACACATTCTCATGCAGCTAAGAAAAGAGACACGGGAGACACATTTTAAATCTACAAATTCCTGAAAATGTCTACTGGATAGTTTAATGGGGTACAAATGGTAGGATAACAAATATTTTCTCTTAGAATGTGAAGACATTTTTTTCATGGCTTTTTATCTTAACATTGTTATTGTTGGAGACGATGCCATTTTGATTGTCCTTCCTTCGTGTGTGACCCTTTTTTCTTCCGTCTCTGGAAGTTTTTAGAATTCACTTTTCTTAATTGGTATTTTAAAATTTCAAGAGAATGTGCCTTGGAGTAAATCTTTTTCATTCATTATGGGTCATTTTAAGAATTTTTGTACTTTAATTCTGGATTAAAAAATTTTGTTATTTTCTCTCTCATCTTTTTCTGTAACTTTTATTAGTCATCATCCTTTTTGGATCCTCTCGTCTTTCCAACCTTCTGTCTTAGTCTTGTGTTCTGCTTCTGTAATATTGTCTCCATTTGGCTTTTTAATGTTTCTGTTGAATTTTCTTTTTTATTTTGATGATCTGCTCAGGTTTTTATAAGAATCATTTTTCTAGTTGTCAAACCTTCTTTATCTGTCTCACAAACGCAGTATTTTCCTAAAAACAAGGGTTGGCAAACCTTTTTCCGCAAAGGGCCCAATAACAGTCTAGCCTTTGCGAGACATACGGCGACCGTTGCCTCCACTCGGCTGAGTCACTGCAGCGTGAAATCAGCTACAGACGGTGCACACGTGAGTGGCCCTGGTATGTTCCAGAAACCTTTATTTACTAGAACAGGCAGCGGGCTGAACTTGGCCCTGCGGCTTTAGTTTTCAAGTCCTGCACAAAAGTCTCTGAGGTTGTTTTTAGTTTTCAAAAAGCTTTTCATCCTCACCATTTTGGCAAAACTGTGGTAGATTCTTTGAGGCACAGAATCTTCAACGGATGCTAAAATGTGTGGGTGAAGGTAGGAGGAGGAACAAGTTAGGGACGTCGTCTCAGAGCGTCTTGCCACAAGGGGCTTGCTGTTGCAGAGGACAGAGCAGTGCATTCACAATGGAGGAACCTGGAAAGACAGCACTTTATTTTTTTTAAATGTTCATTTATTTTTGAGAGAGAGCGAGGGAGAGAGCACAGAGCCCTGGCGCAGGGCTCGAACTCATGAACTGTGAGATCATGTCCTGAGCTGAAATCAAGAGTCACACACTTAGCTGACTGAGCCCCCCACCCCGCCCCCGGGCGCCCCTGGAATGACAGCACTTGAGCCCATTCTCCGTTGCTGCCCTCTGGCCAGATGCCTCCTTCTCACACTGACTGCATGCTCTGCCAGGCCCCGACACGCCGTGCCTCGGCGGCCCCCTCTCCCCACGTGGGTCCAGAGGCATCACGGTATGGCCACCAGTTGATACGATTTCAGGGTCTCTTGATTCTGGGACACAGCACACTGATGCTCAGATAGGTAAAAGGCCACTCGGCCTGAGGGAGGGCTGCCGGGCAGGGCCCTGCGGGGAGCTGTACCTGGGGACAGGGTGACAACAAGCTGGAGCCGGAAGGGCATCTTTTGAATGAAAAGCAGGGTAGGGATAGCTAGGTTTGGAAGGCTCCTCGTGGACTGGCACATTCGAATAATCATCTGACACAGGGGCAGTCCCTGCTTATCTGGTTCCTGGACCGGGGCCACTCGGGCAGGTGCATTGTGGCACCGGAGGGTGAGAGCCCTTCTGGTAAAGGAAGTGGGTGGGATGTGGACTTAACCAGTCGCTCAGGAAGGGGACCGATCCACCTCCAGGCTCAAGACCGGCTCACCACAGCATTAAGAAAAGCCCCAGACCACGGCAAAACCAACCGCTTACAGCCTCTCCTTGGCGTGGATGTCCTCACCACCCTCCGTACATGCTTCCTCCCTCACCAGGAGCCCTCCCCACCCGCCCTGCTGCAGGTGCCCACTTTGTTCGATCTGACTTCATGGCTGTAGGAATCAACAATGGGCGAAGTGGAGACATTTCTCAAGAGTTAAGACATACTAGTATGTGTCATAAATCTCCCACATCATGCCCAACATAAGTAATAAACCTTTTCAGGGACTGGCCATCTTAGTATTATATGTAGT